TCATTTAGGCAACAACAACAACACAAACACACACACACACACACACACACACACACACACACACACACACACACACAAAAAAAAACATAGAAACACTTAAAACTAAATGAATTGATAATCTCAAACTAAAACAAACAAACAAACAAAACACACAAACAAGGTCAACACAAAAGTTTCTAAATTTTCCTACCCCCAAACTTAGAATGGCATTGTCCCCAATGTCACCTCATGCATATCATGGCATAGGAAAATAAGGACTAGAGGTGACGAAATACTCCCCTGATGGATCTATGAAGTCTGTGATGCGTGCAAAACCCTGGCATCCAGTCCTTGGTTTCTTGATTATCCAAATCTGTCAAACAAAGAAAACTTAAGGACCCTAAATGCGTTAGATAACTCCATCGTAGATTACAAAAAAGTATCTCAACCTTGCAATGTTCAAACTAATCTAAACCTTAAAAAGAAAAGCGAAAAGAAATTTAAATCAGAAAAATAAACTCCAAGTTCTCGTTACAACCATAAATAAATAAAAACATAAACAAAAATGTGCCTCAGGATCAATCCTCTTCAGCTTCTTCTTCTCCCTCCTAATCTTCTTCCATGGCATCTTCAGGGTGTTTTTCATTGTGCTCATTCTAGTCCCGCCATTGGAATTGTGCCACATATAGCCCTAGAGATTGTAGACGTGCTGCTACATCTCGAACATCTTCTTCATTTGATCACCCATCCATGTTTGTTGCAGCTTAACTGTCTTCATCTCAGCTTAGAGTTACTGCAGTTGATCATTCACTGTAGGTTTGGATGTGGTTGTAGCTGCTCTCAGTCTTTAGACACTTACGCCTGCACTTGATGCTCTGCCACTCTGTCTTCCTTCTATCTTATGGTAGAATGTCGTGTCAAGCATAAGTGTTGGATGAATGGTCATTTTATCACTAAAGGATGGCACCCCTTCCCTTTTACAAATGTCTGTGATCAGATTCGAGAAGGCATAGTTCGGTCGACTGGGCTTTGCTACATGCTTGATGTAGTCGAAAATGATCTCCCTTACATTAATCTTCTTCTTTGTAGCGATGTAGCAGAGTGGAATTGCCTTCTCAAAGTTTAGTGAACTGAAATGTGTCTCAGCAATCAACCGTGCACAAATGAAGTATTGCTAGATCTGTGCTACAACCGTCAGATCGCTCCCATTCAATTTCCTTGTTCCTTTCTGAATAACATTCCAAGAAGCTTCTGGTTTGGCTATAACCCTGAGTATCTCATCCTAATTTGGATTGTTCTTGTAGATTATGTACTCATTACGCCCAACAGGACTCATCCCATAAAAATCATTGATGATCTGAGTATTAAATGGCACTTGTAAACCCCTAACATACACATGACCATCTTGACTTTCTGGGAGGTTTGCATAAAATTCCCTAACAAGTGGTTCTAAGGCTAGCTGCAGTGGTTCCTTCACAACAAGAGCCAATCTAAGTCCTGAGCCCAATCAGAAGCGTAAAGAGCATTTAATCCCCTCTCCGGAATGATTTTTCCATCATTCTTCTTGGCCTCAGCGTCATATCGCTCCCTAGCCCTATCATTCACAAACCGATTGTCCACTTGCTTCCCTTTTGTCGTTCTCTTAAAAGGCATTGTCTTTTTCTTCCCAATTGAACACTAATTCACAAACGCCCAAATTTAAACAATACTTCAACAATTTCCACAAACAAATTCAGCCCACAACTTCAAAAATACTCTACTCAACGCAATGTACACAACACTGCAAAATTTCCACCATAAACAACTCCACATTTCACTACTTCTCACGACAATCAACCCAAGATTTCACAAACCCAATCTTCTTTCAATCAACCCAACACAAATCAACAATTAACAACTCTCCACAACAAACAAATCAACACAAAAATCACACTACAACATCAAGAATTTGCAACTCCAAAAACCCCCAAAATTCAAATTTCAATCAACTTTACGAATCCATAGATTAGCATTCAAAATCAATCAGTCAAAAGCTTAAGATAAGAATTCTTACCAAATGCACCGAGATTAAGCTTCCAATCACACCACTTTGCCCCAAAATCGTGAAAGCCCCAAAATTTTTGAGAAACTTTGAGTTTTCGCCAAAATTTTTGCAAATCTCCTTATGAATCTTGCTAAAAGCATGGTAAATGGTGTTTAGGGGATTGAGAAATGTGTGATTTGTCGTAGAAATGCTTGGGAAGGGTAAAAGAATTGAGAAGAAAGAGATGTGCTATGGAGGCTAGCGTTTGATGTAGTGAAGAAGAGAGAGAACTGACGTGGGTTTATATAAACAAAATAAAACAAAGAACAAAGAACAAAATTCAAACAAAACTAAGAAAACAAATATAAAATTTGAATGCTATTTCCCCGGAAACGGCGCCAAAAACTTGATGTGCAAATTTAATACTCGCAAGTGCACGAATCACTAATAGCTAGCGATAAGTTTACTCCCAAGGTCGATCTCTCGCGGAATTGCTGTGGTCTAAATTCTTAATTTATTTTCTTTAACAACTAAACTAAATAAATAATAAAATCCTAAACACACTAACCAAAAGTTGAATGAAATTAATCTAAAATAAAACTGTAAATTAATTAAAACTAACGAACGCAATCTGTTGAAGGTGAATTAAACCAATGAGAGTGATAGTGGGGATTTAGCTAACTTCTCAATCATGTATTGGGATATTTGGCAAATAAAACAATTAAATCCTAAATTCAGATCGTTGATTTTTCCACTAAACCATAGAGAATTCCAATGATCATGTTTATTCTCCGTCTATAATTAACTAATTAACTTCTATGATCAAGTTCTTAACTAATTAATCGTAATCTACATTAGGAAATCACACAACCATCCAAATCAAAACAATGATCATGTATTCAATTTGAACTCTTGTTTAATGGAGCTTAATTAAGGCAAGATGATCACTAGAACCCTAATTCTCAATTTTAATTATAAAAAGTAGTTGGCCAGTCAACAGATTATAATCAATATCATGAAGAACAATTAAATGAGAAACAATCTAAAATCTTCATGAAACAAATCACCAAACACCCAATACAATCATGATAGTTAAACTAAACTCCCACAATATATTTAGTTGTTCTTACTCAAACTCAAACCCATGAACTCAATGAATGAAAAACTAATCATATTGCAAAATAAGATGTAACTGAAAAGAAATCACCTAGGAATTGACGTAGATTGATCCTCTTCCTTCTCTCCCTTGTTGAAAACTCACAATCTCTCTTTATAAAGCAACACTCTCAAAAGCATAAAACTCTCAAATTAGGTCAAAGAGAGTTCTCTCTAAAATAAATTACATGTCCTATTTATAGTTTTTCTTTGCTAGGGTTGTTTTTGGGAAAGTACAAATTCAAGTCGGAGTTGGAAAAGTTGAGAATTTTATTTTCTCTGCGATTCGCCTGGCGCGCCAAATCTTCCCGCAAACCTTAAACTCTTTCACGCCATAGCGTCGAATTCTTCACGCTGCAGCATTAATTTTCTGTCCAAATAACTTTTTTTCATGCCGCGGCTCAGAAAAACTATGTTGCGGCGTTGAAAAACTATGTTGTGGCGCCATCTAGTTGCTTCGCATTTTTCTTCCTCTTTTCAACTCTAATTCTCAACCCATTTTGCACGATTTCTTGCAAATGCATTCCAAAAGCTCATATACCTTCAAAATAGTAAAAACCACCTCAAAGTATCATATTCTTAAGGTAAAACACACAAATAACAACAAAAAAACATAACAAAATACGACAACAAATATTGGTTTATTAGACGACGTGGTAGACTTTGGATGGCGCAAAGTCTTCTTAAACTCTAATTGGTGCTCGCTGACATCATCTTATGTCAATCCTTATTTTTTAGGCATAACACTCCTAAAGAATCGTTTCACTCCTCGGTGTAATCAACAAATTCAAGTCATTGTACGTAGCTCGAGTAAGCATTTCGAATTGGGCTCATTTTTTAAACAAACAGCTTCGAGTAAGGCTATCTCAAAGCATTGAGTAACATTTACTCGATGCTTTGAGAGAGCTTAATTACTCGAAGCATCGATTTTTTTCAATACTTGAACAAGATTGTCTTCATCCTCGTAATAAGCAACTTCCTTCGTAATCCTTTTTCCCTTTTTTTTACCCCCTAATTGTGATTCATTAACAATCCTAACAATGAAACAACATCATATGGTTCACTACTAGTTTCCCTGATACACTAAACATAAAAAAAATGCAAGTTTTCAATTAAAAAGTTTTTTAGTACTCCCCAATAAGACAAACTATAAAAAATATAATATAGGACCAGTAAGCTGTTTTACGTTAATGCAGTTTGGAATTGAGTCGAAAAAAAAAACCGGGAGAACTATGAAGTATGTATAAATCAAGTGTATTATGATAATAAATTGAGTATGATGGTTATTTTAGTTTATACATTTAAATGGTGTTTAATTTTGTTTAAACCCAAAATTTGGTTGAATTAAATAATTTCCCTCAAAAAATTGTGTCAATGGTTTGAATTCACATAGTCTAACCCACTAATATAATGTGTTTTTAGTGCTGATAAAGCAAAGAAGCAACACTATTTCTTTGATTAACCGGATAATTAATTATGCATTTGAAGACTTTATATACCATTACAATTTATTAAAATATACAGTCGTCTGATAATTTAAACTTAACGAACTTTTAATATATAAAGTACACCAATATTCTTGGTTCTTGATACACATAGATCGATGCCCGATTTCAATTTTCAAGTCAAGTCAAGCCAAGCCAACCACAACATCTCATCATCTTTCAAAATTTTCAACATACTTCTATCACGCAATTACACTTGTTAATCATCCACACCAACTCCTTGCAACCCCAACCTCTATATAAACGCCTTCGGATTGCCTCATCCATCATACAACACAACAAAAAAACCAAAAACATAACTATAGTTTGCCCTTTAAGTACTCATATCACTCTCCAAAATGAGCACCTTCACTACCCTTTCAATCTGCTCCATCCTTTTTGTTACCCTCTACTTCACCTCCGCCGATGCAGCCAAGTTTGACATCAGAAACAACTGTCCCCACACTGTCTGGGCGGCCGCAGTTCCAGGAGGCGGTAAGCGACTTAACCATGGCGAAACATGGACCATTACCGCGAATCCTGGCACCAAAGAGGCCCGAATTTGGGCTCGAACCGGCTGCCAGTTTGACGCAGCTGGCAAAGGCAAGTGCCAAACTGGTGATTGCAACGGTGTCCTCCAATGCAAAGGCTATGGAGTTCCTCCTAACACCTTAACCGAGTACGCGTTGGACCAGTATGAGCACCAGGACTTCATTGACATCTCTAACATTGATGGGTTCAATGTTCCTATGGAATTTAGCGCGGCTCCTGGTGGTAAATGCACGCGTGTAATCAAGTGTACGGCTGATATTGTTGGGCAGTGTCCGCATCAATTGAAGGTACCTGGAGGATGTAACGGGCCATGTCATGTGTTCAAGACGGACGAGCATTGCTGCAACTCTGGTAACTGCGGACCTACAAATTTCTCTAGGTTTTTCAAGCAGAGGTGCCCGGATGCTTACAGTTACCCTAAGGATGATGCAACAAGCACATTTACTTGCCCGACCGGAACCAACTACAAGGTTGTGTTCTGCCCTTGAATTGCCGTTCAAGTGATCGAATAAGAGGTAGCTTGAAAGCTAGCTGATGAGCACATGTAGTATTGTGCAGATCATATTCAGCAACCCCCTTGTTGCAAAAATAAACTGTTCTGTTGTAAAAGATGAAAGATTAATTACTTTTAACTTTTTTTTTTTTTAATATTACAAGAAAAATTATAAGAGCAACACTTCTAATTTGGTACATAACATCGATGATGTGGTATGTCCTACTAATCTTATTAAGACTCCATTCTCTATATTTAGTAAAATCTATCATATTTGGAATAAATATAACATCATCCATCGAAGAGTCTTTGAACATAGTTTTTTTTTTTTTTTTTTATATATATATTATAATTAATTTCTTTTTCATCAATCTAAGGAGCAATATATGGTTGACATCTCTACTAATAGTTAAGTTTCTCATAAATAATGTTATATACGATGTATAACACATATACGACAGCTAGTGATCTTTCCTATATACGGTAAAATCTCTCTATAGTGATACTCTATATAGGAATAAACTCTACATAGTCATAAAAAATTATAGTCTCAATTTGGGATAGTCATAAATAAGAATAAACTTCACATTGTAATAAATTATAATTTTTCTAATTCACGTCTTAAGGAAAGTTGTATCTACATAGTAATAATTATCTGTATATTACCAAAAAATATATGTTATGTTACATAAAAGGTTTAAGATGAAATAAAATATTTATCTAAAGTTGTTTGGGACAATGATTTATATTTTAAAATTGTTTGGGATAATGATTTATATTTTAAAGTTGTTATCACATCTTTTACCTTGCTAGTATGTAATAACTTGCTAACATGGGCGCGTTCTTGTTGAAGCCAATATATTTTTAACTTCTCAAGCATATTTAGTTAAAGCATATACGATTTGTTGCTCATTTGGATGATCAAGGAAGACATTAATATCCATTTGATTAGTGTAGTGAAATTGTCGAGTTTGATCACTCAATTTTGCAATGACTCTTTTATTTTCTTGTCGAATCTGATCATTCAATTTTGCAATGACTCTTTTATTTTTCTCGTCCACTTCATTTGTAACTTGCAATTCATCGAAATCGATGGTCCTAATTTTGCAATGCTTAAAACCATTGGCAATTGTCTATAGCTTCACATCAATTGACCATGAATCAACTGTATTTATAGTTCCATCAATAACACTTATCTTTGCTGGTTCCAAGACACGGTCTTCCATCCATTTCAAAAGTAGGCAATTAAAACGCTGAATTGAAATCTCAATACTACTAAAATATGAATTGAAATCTTAATATTGTACTACTGAAACATGAATTAAAAAATAAGAAATTAAAACTATAATTTTTGTAATTACACCTCCATTAAGTTATAACCTCCTTATAGTAATAAAATTAGTTAGTCACACCATTATAACTATAAAGGGGTTTTATTGTATAAGGCTGTAAAACTCAGAGAACTGTATAACATCATTTGAAAATACTGTATGTCTTTTTTGTTTTCAAAAACAAATTTGAACTCTTATCTATAAGTCAACCTTATATATTAACTCTTTTATGATACGGATGTACAAATTAAAGATATATAAGGTAGGCTGCCCAATTAAAACTTTCTCCAAGCACATTCTTTCAAATATAGTAATAACTAGGGTGAAGTTGTGATGTATATGGAATTAAAAGATTTTAATTGCGAGCTTTTTAATGGTAATTTAGAAAGAAAATAAAATTTTAATGTGTTATTATAGGAGAGCCTTTCATATAATCAAAATGTTATTTTTTTAGTAACTGTAGTATCCAGACTAGCTTGCATGCACCTTAACTAATCCTTATTCCCGAGATCCATTGAACTTTCTACAAACTCAATGAGCTAGATGAACACAAGACCTTTGAGTAACCTAAGGTTTTGTCATCCGGTCATAAGTCAAATGGTTATTTCAAACATTTTTTTTCAACATTATAAAATGTATTTTTAAATTAATCCTAAACATCTTTAAAACATACTTAGTAATATCCTCGTGAACTTATAATTAGCATTATATATAAAGAAGTAAACAACTTATTAATACTTTTCTGTAGCCGCCATACTTTAACATAATTCCACAAAAACATTTTCCTCAATTCTTTTGATAGAAAAGAAGTTGGCAGGAGAAGGAAAATAAATACGTAGCAATTTAGTAACAAATTAGTCAACAAGAACCAGCAGAAAAATTACTTTATAATTAGTACTACATGTATTTATAGATATAAATCCAAGAAAAAGCAAAAATAAAATATCAATATACTTGTCAGATCACCATAAAATAAATTCTCTATAGAATTATCAAAGATAGAGAGAGAGGAATACTCGTATTGCCATTGGTCATTATACGATGTTTCAGTGAAACGGAGGGATTAATATGTTTATAAATTCATCTTCTCTTTGATAAAATTGAGGAAAAAAAATTGAAAATTCTTCATCCATAAATAGGAATTTCTATCCTCTTTGTTTTGCTTCATGATAATACCTGAATATATTACGGCAAAAAGCCCGGTATAATAATTGATGAGATTTTACATGATATGAGATGTAATGAAATGAGAAATTAATGTGTTTACATGTTGATCACTTACAAACAAAATAAGCATATACTTACGATATGGAAAATTTGATATCGGGTAATGGAGCGAGCGACCCCCACTCTTCCACATCATCTGGTTTGTGATAAAAGTCCAGTCAGTACTCGAAAACTGTGAACAGAGTTGAATATTCCTTATATGTAGTTTCATTTTCTCAGTTTTCTTGCGCATTATCAGCCCCATACTGCGCTAATTGGATTATACGACCGTAGCCACTGGACGACTTTCCGACGCATGAATGAGCCTTACACTCAAACCAATAAAATCAATTTATTAACTATATGTATTTAAATTGTGGTGTCAGTCATCTCATACTTTTGTTTCTAACTAGCTAGTAGCTATAGTAGTTGATATTCCAAAATATGGTTGAATTTTTGTTTTATTTTTAGGGCATTAAGTAACATGGCCACATGACACTTACACATTAGTTTATACAGACTCTTATGGTAAGAGATGTAAATGTGCATTTTCAAAACTTTTAGGTACCAATTTTATCTAAAGTTTTAAGTTTAGGAGTGAAAAAAAGGGACAACTTTAATTAGATTATTTAAGAACAAAATTTAGATTATGTTTCTAGATGGTAAATCAAATAACCCTTAAAAAAATGTTAATTATTTTTATTCTTTGAATATAAAGACTTTAAAATTCAAAATATTTAAATACTCCAATTATTATAATATAATGCACAAAAAATAATCATAATAATAATAAGATGGATTCAACACGCAATAAAATTATTAAAGATAGAGAGAGAGGAATACTCGTATTGCCAATTGGTCATTATATGATGTTTCAATGAAACGGAGGAATTAATATGTTTATAAATTCATCTTCTCTTTGATAAAACTGAGAAAAAAAAAATTGAAAATTCTTCATCCATAAATAGGAATTTCTATCCTCTTTGTTTTGCTACATAATATTACCTGAATATATTTCGGCGCATAATAAATGAGATTTTACATGATGTGAAATGTTAACGAAATGAGAAATTATTGTCTACATGTTGATTACTTATAAACAAAATAAACACACTTACGAAATGGAAAATATTAATATCGTGTAACGGAAGGACCACTCCACCACATCATCTGGTTTGTGATCAGTTGCGGACTCAGGACTTTTGCCGAGGCGGACTTCCACGGCTCCGTCATTGTTCGCCAAATAATTAGTAAAAAATTTTAAAAAATCATCAAACCTTAAGCAAATAAAATAATACAATATGAAGAACCTGAAAATGAAATAATGCAGTAACACAATACTTTCTCACTTAGAAGCGGACTCAATCTCTTTGAGGGTTAGCCTAGTATTTAAAACAAAAAACAAAAAAACCAATTTTTTCTATAGAAAAGTCTTCTCTAGAATTTCTTCTTATCCTTTGGGATTCAACCCATCTTTACTAATTTGACCTTTATGTCCTCCCCCTTTTCCCTAATTTAGTCCATATAATATACCACACAAATCACTATTAACTGTGATTTTTAATTAACTTGGCCTCATTGTCATTTCATCTATACTTACATTTCCATCTTTCATCTTTCTACCTAATTAATTCCTTAACAGACGCCAATTCCCTTTACTAATAAAAGATTTCATGCTGTAACTTACACCCCTTTTTAATAGAAATAAAAATTTACAATTTATAATTATAAACTAATAATTTACTTAATAATTATCATTATCTTTCCCTAAATTTAATAAATTTCGAATGATTATGTTATACTCTTTTTCACAAATATATTCTCTATTTAATAACAGTGACATGACATAATTAAAAAAAAAACAATTAGATTATAATTCAATTTGAATTTTTCATTGAACTTTGACTATGACAATCTAGTGTCAAAAGTAAGCACAATTGTTTATTATTTAATTTTTTTAAAGAATTTAATCATATAAAACATTACTTTAAATGTGCATATAACTCAACTTATTTTTCCATTCGACCCTTGCTTCTTCCCTTCCAATTTCATCACAAATTTTCATAAGACATCAATAACATCTATTGGTAAGAGAAGAAATTGAATTGAGAGCAAATTAGGTCAAGATTTAGGGTTTATGATTTAGGTTTATGGTTTTTTGCTCTCCTCACATTGAAGAGGTTTTTCTACGTAAATATTTTCTTGTGTTTCATTGTGAATTGGATGTTATTTTCAACACTTTGCTTTTCATAAATTTATTCAAGTAAGAAAGTATTGTGTTATTACATTCTCTCTTTTTAGCTTCTTGATATTTTAGTATTTCCTTCGCTCAAGGTTTGATAGTTTTTTAAAAGCTTTCACTAGTTAATTGACAAACAATAGTGGAGTCACAGACCCTCAACAAAAATCCTGGGTCCACCACTGTTCCCACTTAAGCAAATGTGTTGAAAATAACATCC